ATTTTTCTATTGATGAGAAGAAAAATAGAACACAACATGATTCATCTTAAATACCATATTGATTTGATATATGGAATTACAGGCAATACTGATGCCTATTTTCTTTATTAATAAGAAATACGAATATTTCATTTGGCGTCATTTTATGAAACTAAATAATCGTATTTCCTATTAATAAAAAATCCAGTTTGATTATGGTACCTATATGATTATGTATTAAATCTTTATGGTATTTAGGATGAATCATAGGCTGTTTTTCGTATTACTGAGAAAAATTTAAACAGTGATTTATAGATTTAAGTTGGATATCTGGTAAAACGAGCTTTAAAATACAACTAGCTGAAGTTTATATATGGCACTGCTCTTAATAAATAATCCCTGTATGAGCTACACAATTAAACAAACTAAGCATTTTAAATTTTCAAATAAAAAAAATCAGAATTGGGAAAACGCAACTATTTTAATTCAGTAATTAAACTGCTTCTTCCACTCACACATTCGACAAAAGTAGAAATTGTTTTGACGGTCATAATAAAAATACGTAGCCATATTAATATTTGACACAAGTGACATTTTGGCATTCTGTCGTCACAGTGCAAAATATTATGATAGTCGTCATATATCCTAACTCACATCACTAGACATACTAATGGTTTTTTTATGTAATTGATTATTTTTGAATACCTATAATATACGCGATTAGACGCCGCCCATGGGAATTCTTTCAAGGTTAAAGCTACTATTGCCGGTATCACTACTAATAACTTTCGGACTTGAGAATTTGCTGTGGATGGTGTCGTGCCAAAACTAAAATAAGGTTAGACTAAACCAGTGTTTTGTTATTGCATGTTTTATTGAAGGGTTATGTTATGTTATTATTAGGTTGCCTAATATCTTAATATAGTACTGTGTTTAATAAAGGAGCTGGTTATTTATTTACCTGGAACCCCACCTCAGGGAATGTTGAGCTCGTTGAACTGTAGACAAGCACGAACGAAATGTGACATACTTATTATTTATTTTTATCCTCGCGCCGTCTATACACTGCGATGCATGTAGTTAAACTAAATAGTGAAAAACAAGAACTAGTCTCGATGTGCGTGCATAATTTGCTTTCACATGAGAGCCCTGACAGGTGTTGGGAAACCAGTCCGGGACTCACGGAAACTGTTCGGTGTCTAATCATCACATATTCAAATTAGATACTTAATATATACAATTAAGTGTAATAGAAATAAACTCACTTTAGTGAACATTTTATAGTATCGTTAAGTTGGAAAGTATGTGCCTAATTACTAAATTACTTGTCTATAAAAAATCGGCGAACAAATATTATTAAACCCTTTTTTATAAATTTGACAAGCAAATTTGCATTTAGAAAATTCTTGCCTCAATGAACAAATAATGGAGGAATTATAAATATATTTGTCTAATTAAATATGAATAAACACAATTATTGTAATAGCAAATAGGAAGGAAAGACAAATTAGTCGGTTCATAAATTTGTATTCTTGTTTTTCTCAATTTAAACCAACCAGTCGAGCCAGTGTATTAGAGCTTGGATAAAAGACTTGAAATTTTATTATTCTAAAGTTGGCTTGAACTTCTATCTTCCGTAACATTGCACTCCGTCTCATTTCACAATGTCAATTTAAATTATAAATTTTAAATGTTTTTTTCAAAGTTTGCGAAGCTCAATTTCCTGTTTATTTTGTTATATCATAACTAAGAAGTTCTTGTGTACTTTTCATTTTATTTGCATTCAATCTTTATTACTTTTAAACTTTTGAAATTGTATTTAATGTTACCTTAAAATACAGAATATAGGTATTTCAAGATTTAAAATTAAATAAGATGTAAACTTTACATCTAACTTAACAGAGCTTTCAAAAACGAATTACAAACAAAGTCATAAATAAAAAATAAGGTTCGTTGAGAAGTTCTCAACAATCCTCAATATTTGGTTATTTATGAAACATAAAACTTCATTGTGATTTTCCCACAAATTTATCCCATAGTACTAAACATTTGTTTGTAAATGTACCGAGCTACGATTAAATTATCAAGCACAGGTTAAATTTTGTACAGGCTGGAATAACCTTTATTAGCCTTAAATATTAAAATGATGTGGCCAGCATATAACTTTCTTATACCAGTATATATCATCCTGATCTAAAAAAATCATTCTATATTTAATTCTTCACTTACCTCAATTAAATTTTAATAGTGTACCTTGAAATGTTTCATTAAAATTTTTAAATAATTAATTATCAGCGTCATTCGATACTGTTAATAAGAATTCATGTCATATATTTTAATAATTACTTCCTCACCCCTCAAAGTGAGGAAGCTATGTATTCTTCAAAAAAAATTTTGAAAATTTTTATTGCATTTCTGGAGGAATCTCGACGAAAAAAATTTTCTGTCTGTGTGTCTGTCTGGTTTGCGATAGCAGCTACAGTTTTTGAGATAAAGCTTTCAAATTTGGTACACACATTCTAGAGGTCAAGAAAAAGATTGAATTCGTCGATGAGCAAAATCGGTCTAAAGAAATATTAGTGACATTCCATCAATGTGTCTTTTTTGAAATCAAAATGTGATTTTCTTGAAGCGTTAAAAAATGTGACTTTTTTGAAACGTCAAAGTGACTTTTTTTGAAACTTCAAAATGTGACTTTTTTGAAACACCAAAAATTACTTTTATTATAAAGTCCACCACACGTCGTGTTTCACTACGGTGAGGACGCTCTAATCGCCAAGAATTGGCAGCGGTTTTTTTGTTATTGACATTGACATTTTTGTAACTAAATTAGACCTTTCAAATTTCAAATTGTTAAATTTATCCTAACCCCATTTTATGAGACCAAATACATAAAATATGTCAGTTTACATCAGCTTTATTTAAGTACTTAGAAAATATATTTTATTCGCTTGATATAGTAGACATGATTTATAATCTTTCATCAAGAATATATTTTCTTGTAAATATACAAATATACAAAAAAGTTTGGATCCCGTGGACCCCCTTTCAGCTGGCCAATTTTGCTCATCATCGAATTTTTCATTGTCTCTGGCCTTTAGAATACGTATACAAAATTTGAAATTTTTATCTCAAAAACTGTTGTTGCTATCGTGATACTACAGACATGCGGACAGATTTTTTTTGCATAAAGTTGTTCTTTTATTATAATTCGTCGAGATTCGTCCAGAAATGCAATAAAATCTTTTAATTTTTTTCCCGAAATTGTACCTTTTTTCTTTTTTCATTTATTATGTCTCTTCTGATGTTACTACATTCACCAAATTTAATGTGTCACCTAAAATGTTGCTAACAATCTTAACTGCCATATTTGGGAAGTCTCCCATCAATGTTTTTTGAGTTATCGCGGATAAATACATACACACACACATACACATCCACACACACATCCACACACGCACTGACAGACATCATTCGGAAAATAGTCAAAATGGACTCAGGAGGGTTCAAAACGTATATATCAATCAAAATTTCGAGGTAGAAAAAACTCACGATTACTATACTTCCTTATATTAGGTATAAGAAAGCAAAAAAAAGTGACTCATCGAATGTTCAGACGGAATTTTTAAATCTGGATAAATATATTAAAAGCTGCGTTAAGAAACTTTGAATCGCAATTTGTGCAGCGAACATAACGTGAAATACAAAAATTGATTTCTGCAACAGGCTTCTTATAACAGAATTAATATAGTAATAAATAAATTAATTAATATAAAGCTATTTTAATTTCTTAGAAAGAAAGCCCGTAGCAAATTGTACCGACCAACAAATTAAGCCCATCATAATTGTTTCAGGACCCTACAAAACTATACCGCTGGCTTGTAGAAGGGAAAAAAACATACCAAGAGGCGAACCTGTTGGCAAAAATCTGTACACTAAACTTCTACTTCCGACGTGCTTCAAGGAAATTCCACTATTTTAGCTAAGAATTCCAGGAATTCCAAAGAAACATCAAAACCCCAAGAAATTCCAAGAAATTCTAGGGAATTAAACACCACAGATAATACAACCTCCCGTATCTCTGAAGGTATCTTAAGATACTTTGTGGGTAGAGAGATACACATTTAGAGACAATGGACACATACCTAATTTCCAAGTATGCTAAAAATAATTCACAGTAAACACATATACGTTTTTAAAGCGTATTCTCAACGTGTCACATGATTTCTTCATCAAAAATGTTGACAGTCCTTTTTTTTCGGTAACTATTATTATTAAATTAACGATATTTAAAGCGTTTAAATAAAACTGTTCTCTTAAACGTTCATAAAACGTCCATATCAACTGAATAGTCCATTGAGGTTTTTGAAAGGTGTTGGTGTTACGTACACTAGTAATACGTTTTAAAAAATCTGATATATTATTGCTTAGTATTTATTCATTTCTAGAAGGAATAATAAAATTTTTATTGGGTATTACATAAGCATTTTTTCAAACCTAACATGATTATAATAATAAATACCTATATATTTTACACTGTCTTTCTAATCTAATTGCATTAGTATAAAAATTGTAGGTATATAATAGACCAAAAACAATGCTTCCAATACATTTTATCGCTGAAACTCTTCAAACAACTACTAAATCTAGGAGCAAGAATTGCATTGAATTAAATACCAGTGTTCTTAGTATTAGAACCAGAAAAATATTGAGATTAAAATAATATTGACTCACCAAAGAGGGAAATTTTTACACTTAAGGAATGATTTCCGCCAGTTACAAATCAAAAACGAACACCCATAATTCGATGTATATCTACTTTCATTCTTCTTGAAGAGTTCAGGCAGATGGTTTCATATATACTAATTTTAAACGTTTATAATTTCGTTATCCGAAACGTAAAACTGAGACATTTTTAAGTTGTTGGTACGTAAAAATGACGTTTTTCAAATGGTATAGTGTTTGGACATTATCAACGTCTTTCTGTGTGTTTACTGAGTTTCTGGTTTTAGAAAAAATTCTAGCTCCTCGACCGGGAATCGAACCCGCGACTCCAGTGTGAGAGGCAAGTGTCTTTACCACATGGCCACGAAGCCACAAAATTCTAGTGAATTTCAAGGAATTCCAAAGATATATAGGTTTTTCTTAGATGGAAATAAAGTTATTTTTTATCATTTATTAAACAAAAACAGTTTATAAGCACATTTGTAAAAGACATACCGTGTGTCCCAACGATGCACATCATTTAGTATATCGGAAGCCATAAGAGTTACATCAGTTAAATAGGGTGTTTCAGCATATTTTATACTGATTCCTAATCTGTTAAATCACGTTTTGAAATCATTTGAAATTTTCCAAAACTTACTTCGTGTAACCGACCTTGTAGCTCTTATAGTTTTCGAGACCCCAATGGTGAGTATCGAATTGGGACAACTTAGGAAATAAATCCTATAAATAAAACAGGCCGACGCTTGACAAGCAGGCCGTAGATGGGAGCTTTTTACCAACCGCCAGCTGTCCCCATACTTATCAGCTTAAAGTCACCACCTTCTCATATGCTCCCTTTCTAGCACTAATTGTAGTGACGCGTGCCAGAAAGAGAACAGAGATGAAGGTGGTAACTTTAAGCTGATGAGTATTTTACTTCTCTTGCTCCCCCATAAATCCTTCCGACGTTCTAATGAAGGTCAGGATGTCACTCAGTGCGAGGGAACTCATCTGTGCCTCAGTACCAAAAATGCTATGCTTCAGGCACCTGAACGTTTGACATTACCCAAAAAGTGGTAAGACGTTTCTTCATCACTCCCGTATTCTGAATTTGTGAAGTCTTCCTCAAAACCTATCAAAGGTAGATGTCTCCTAAGTCTACAGTGGTAACGCTCAGTAACCAGACCGATATCGACTTGTTCGGCCCCTTCACAAAATCTCGAGTTTGCCTACAGATCACGTTGGTCATCCAATGCATTCTCAGTGACTCGTGCAGTATTCATTGAGGCCCGTCGTGACTTGTCTTCTTGTGATATCCAACATATGCTCAGGCACGAGGCAGGGTTCCTCGACTGTAAGTATACCCAATGCCTTCTCGTTGCCGGGACCCACATCTGTCTTACTTGTTTATGGTTTGCAAGCTCCGCTAGGGGTGTCTTCGCACTCCTGAACGAGAGATAGTCTCGTCCTGGGAGATCACACCGCTTTAAGAGCAGCTTAGCTGTCGGCGAAGATGTATACCATATGTTCCACACCATTACCTATCTCATCCTTACCTACCACAGATAGGGTCGCGTAAATCTCTGCCTGGAAGATCGTGGTGTACTATCCTAGAACAAAGCTCTCCTGCGCCCCTCTGCCTTCCCGCCCTGGGGAATGATCTGGCGCTGGCGACTATACGGGAACCATCCATGTAGCACGCCAGGAAGTCCGGAGGGAGGTCAGTTCTTCCTTCACTCCACTCCTCCATACTAGAAAGAGTGAGAGTATATTTCCCATCCAATCTTAGCTGGCTTCTCTCAGGGCAGAGATGGGGATTTCCGTCTCCGCGAGTATAGCTGCGAAACCTTAAGCTCTACCTGAACATCGCCAGCTACCAGAATCCCACATTCTCAGATAGGCCGCCATAGCCTTCATCTTTATCCACAAGGGAAACTTTGATAGACTTAGCAGAACCTCCAGAGCAGTTGTTGGTGTCGTCCTCATTGCGTCAGTGATCCCTAGCAAGCTAGTCTCTGACTTTTGCCAGCTTTGTGGACATGAACGCTCTGTCCACACCACCAGACCACAGATCCATACTGGAGCCTCAGTCTGATAGAAATGGTTATCATGCATTCCAACAAAACACGGGAGAAATGATTTTATAAACACATTTAAAAAAGACTCAAAAAATAGATTCTAAAAATAAAACAGCAAAATAAAAGCTCCCTTATAAGTAAAACTGGATTTAAATTGCTCTCAAAGAAATTCTTCAAAATCAAATACAAACTTGATATGGCTTCTTTTTCAGCCATCCTGTATGAATATGTGCTCTGATAAAACTTCAATGTTAAAAAATATATCTAGTAATGCAAATGTGTTCTATTTCCGACCGATAAATTTACATAATACGAGTTCTGTCGAAAGTATTAGAAAAAGAGGTGGATTCACAACTTCGTAGGTATGTGTGAAAATTTCATATACTGCCTGATATTTATCAGGATTTCACACATTTCATAGCTGTTAAATACAGTGATCTGTTTAAGATCCCTTGTTACACATATTATACAAATTACACACTTGACATTTCCATTTTTTAATATTCTGAAATGATTTTATTGTTAAGCTTCTTTTATCCTGTTGTTTAACAATTTATAAATTTTCAGAAATATAAACCTCAGTTTACTGATATACTGTGTTATTTATTTTGATGAAAATTAATATTAAAAATAAAACTTTTAAAGAACTGACTTTATTTGAAACTAATTTATTATTAAAGATAAATATGATGACGCCATTAAAATAACACTCGAAACTACTATGCGAAATTGGATTGCATTATCTTTGAATTATTAATCACTGATGTTGATTAGTAAAATAAATTTGTTTGTAAACATATTTCATTTTTAAATGAATAAGTAATGAAAAAGTAAATGGATTTTGCAACTGTCCTATAATAGTTATTTATGATACAAGAACAAAAATATGATTACGGAAAATTACCGAAGGAGGCGAAGCCGTGTTCCGAAAGCGTATGAGTTCGTCCGTGTCATACACTATTTTTTATCCATTTGTAAGAAAAAATAATAATTTTTTTTTATTTATTGTGTTTATTTTAATTTTAAAATCTGATCGTAATCAACTTTACGTCACTTTGACATAATATAATAAGAATATGGATGACAGTTTGTTTCATTTGTTTATGGTTTCCATTATTTTGTTCATAATTGAGGTGTTGATGGGATAAACCTTATTAGTCCATTTTCCCCCATATGTGGATTTTGGTGACATCTAATGCTCGAATGCAAAAACTATCATATGAGAATATTGTTTCTCCAAAGAACATCACAGATGACGAGAAAATATGCTTTCAAATATTGTAGATTCCTATAAAAACATCATAGGTTCAAACCGTTTTCGATAATAATCTCATACGTCCAAGACCTATGATATTCTTGCCAGAAATCGCGATAGCCAAGGATTTTTGTTTTCAGTTGTGTTTCTGAACTGACAGTTGTAGGTTATAGCGTTATAGTATTCAGTGTAGCAATAACTAATAGTAAATGAAATGGATGTAATAGGTAGTGTTGATCAAACAAATTGGACAAAAATGAAATAGAAAAAGAGTAGTGTCAAACAAATTGACAAGGACGCTTATTTAGTAGGACTTATACGATTAAATCACATACAAAGACGTCGCCCATGACCACAAGCTACTCACAAAAAACACATTGTGCTTCATATTCTCATATACTACGTATTGGTGGGTTGGCAAAAAAGTGTGCATAAAGGCGGTGACCAATATACATCGAGTAACATTTCCTCGTCTGAAGAGGATTCAGTTATATATGGTGGAGAAGGGATGTGCTCCAAGGGATATGAGGGGCAAACACTAAGAAATTATTGTAAAGAAGTTATAGATCTAATAGTGCATCATATTTGTACTTTTGGTCCTATGCAGTTCCACTATTCCAGACGCAAAAATCCTGAAAAACTATATTTGCCTGCCGAGCTGATTGTGAATATACGTAGGGCATATTTAATCAACATTCCATATAAGATGTACTGGTACGTGTTCAAGAAAAAAATTAACAGAATTTGGATATCCTCGTTCAGATACTTGTGTGGAGTGTGATAAATTTCAACATCTTCTCAGCAATCCATAACCCTGATATTACTCAAGAGCAAAAAGCAGATATGACAACAAAAGAGCCTCATCTTAGAAAAGCTGAATCATTTCACACTAAAAAACGTGTATATAAGATCCAAGCTAAAGCTGGGGAAATAATTTTCATTATATGCAGAATTTGCCGTTGCCACATATTCCTTCCAATCCTGTCTTCTTCTCTCGGCAGCTTTGGTACTATATATTTGGAATTCACTATTTGGGCTCAAATCAGGTAACAATTTACGCATATAACGAATCTGTAGCCAAAAAAGGGGCAAATGATGTGGTGTCTATGATACTGCATTACATAAATAAAAATAATATCAGTAGAAATCTGGTCTTAATAAGTGATGGGTGTTCAGGCCAAAACAAGAACTACACTATGCTACATTTTGTTATATATTTTGGTCCACGGATTTTCATTATTTAACACCATCACTTACCTATTTCCTGTCAGAGGTCACTCGTATTTGATGAATGACCAAGACTTTTCTCTCATTTAGAAAAAGAAAAGAAAAGTTGAGCGAATCGAAATTCCTCAAGATTGGAACAAATTAATCCTGAGTGCAAGGGAAAACCAAACCCATTCAGGATAGTAATGTTGATCAATCATTCATATATAACATGAAAGAGGCAACTGACAGATATTTTCTAAAAAGTCCTAAACCAGCAATCAACATAAAAAGTGTCAAAATGAGTAGGATAGAAAAAGAGATTCAGTTTATACAACTTCGACATAGCTACTATGGACCGTGGCGTACTTCATTAATAATGTCAAAAATCAAAATCGAAAACGAACTTCTTCTGGCAAATATGTATGTTGCACCTGTCTCAATAAAGATGAAAAAATGGAAAATATAGAAAAACTATTGGACCTCTTTCACAATCGAAGAGTGGAAGTAACAAAGGTGCTAAGTGCCATAATTTCCGAAATTGAGTTATTGTCATAGAACGGTGTTAAACGACATGGTTTATGACCTGACAAAGGGAGTAAGTGCCATGAGTTAGATTACGCTTCCTACAATAAAATTTAGATGGAACCACCGGTAAGCGACAATGGTTATTTCTCATCAAAGGGGGCAAGTGCCAGAGTGAATCAGCTGTTTTGTTGATATATTTAAGCCTGTTCGTAGTAGCCATCCAAACGTGTGTTGTTCTTGAATTAATTTGAGGATGTTGTTGTAGAATATGAGTGAATTGGACCAAAATAAACGTAGAAAAAGTGGCAGTGGTCGTTTTGAC